TATAATTTAATCAGAAAATTCAGGTACTTCCATAGAAAGCAAAATTACAGATTCACTTACAGAATATTAAGATACCCTCTGCTATTGGTTTAAACTACTAAAAATCTTTCTAAATGTTCGCACCTTCTTACACCTGCTGTATATGTTAAAAGCAAAGATAACCCTTTAAAATATCACTTAATTAAAAAAAATACCAGCAGGACTGTCAATTTTAATGAAACAGGGAAATGTGTCACTTGCTAAGCTTTTGAAGACATATATAAAAAGCTTATACATTTTGTAAGAGATACCTTGAGTCTACAATGAGTCGCCTTACTCAACACCAGCAGTAAAAATAAGTAACTGTGTAGGTGGCTACACTGCTTTAGCACCTGGAAAAATATTACTTACAGAATTTACTTAAATTTGAATCTCCAGGTTTTTTTTATGGGCAATGTCACATCTATTTGTAGCACTATGGTACCCAGGCTAGATAATTATAAATAATTATAATGATGGTATGCTGGTGCCTGCAGTTTACTGATAGAGACAAATGAGTTTTCGGTGTGGTGCAGTAAAAATGTGAATATTGCATAAAATTATGTGTTTGCTGTGCACCAATAAAATCCTCTACTAAACACAAAAAATACAGGACAAAAAAGGACAGGATTGGTGAAAAAATTACATCAAGGAAATTAAATGGTGTGGTGGTCAAGAGGTGAGTGATTCCTATATATACTTTTGGTCAGCTTTATTTATGTCTTGTTATATTTATAATGATATCACTACATCTCTTTTAATTCTGTGATAAGCCACAACGGAAAATCCTTCATTAACATAAATGTGTGCTTAAGTTAGACTCAAGTTACATTCATTTGGTTCATATGGTTTTCTGTTTTTCTTAACTGTAGTGAAAGTTCTGATTCCTCTCAATATACACTGCTTCTTTTGTTAATGTTAGCCCTAAATGTCCAAAGGTGGCCAGAAGAGTCAAACAGAATCACATAATATAGTAATAGTGCATTTTTGGATCAGATGGTTGATGTCCCAACCAGGAAGAATGCTATACTAGATTTAATAATCTCCAATAATGTGGACTTTTGCAGTTGTAGACATTGCGATTAGGGATACATTGGGTAATAGTGATCACAGGATGATTACTTTTAATGTTGGGTACAGAAAAGAGAAGTGTGTTGGTTTGACAAGAACACTAAACTTCAGAAAGGCAAACTTTGATAAGCTGCGTCACCTAGTACATGACACTAAATGGAACAACTTATTTCTAACACTGAACACTAATGAGAAGTGGGATTGTTTTAAGAATACATTACATAACGCTATTACCAAGTGCATACCATCAGGTAACAAAAATAAAAGATATAGAACTAAGCCTGCATGGTTAAATAAAACAGTAAGACACAACATCAAAGACAAGAAGATAGCATTTATAAAATACAAGATGGAAGGGACTGCATTGGCATTCCAAAGCTACAAGGAATACAATAACAGAGGTAAAAATGAAATCCGGCAGCTAAAGTAGATTATGAAAAGCATATCGCTACAGTCAGTAAAAAGAACCCCCAAAAATACTTCCAATATATAAACAGTAAAAGGGTAAGAAAAAAGCAGGCCGGCTCAATAAAAGATGAAAACAGTTGATTAATCATAAACGACAGGGAGATGGCTAAATTATTGACTAATTTTTCTCCTCGGTATACACTCAGGAAAAAGACGAGTTTAATGGAGATAAGAAGGTGAGTAGCTCAGTCCGTAAAATACTGCAGTGGTTGACACTAGCCGGGGTTCAACAAAGACTTGAAAAACTTAATGCAAATAAATCATTAGGACCAGATAACCTGCACCCCAAGGTACTTAAAGAACTCAGCCAGGTTATAGTGAGACCATTATTCCCCATCTTCAAGGACTGCATAATGACTGGTAAGGTACCAAGTGACTGGCAGAAAGCCACAGTAGTACCAATATTCAAAAAAGGTTCAAGATGCCAACCTGGGAACTATAGACCAGTCCGTCTAACATCAAAAGTATGCAAACTATTTGAGGGGATGATAAAGTACTATTTAGTGGATTTTGTTCACGGTAATGGTATAATAAGTGATAAGTGGATTTAGGAGGGATCGTTCTTGTCAGACCAACCTACTGACATTCTACAAAGAGGTGAGTAGAGATCTGGATAGAGGGAAGCCGATGGATGTGGTATATATCTGGATTTTGACAAAGCTTTTGACACGGTACCACATAAACGCTTAGTACACAAGCTGAAATCTATGGGCATAGACGAAATGGTGTGTACATGGATAGAGAACTGGCTATGGGAACGTGTCCAGAGAGCATTGATAAATGGCTCTTTTTCAGATTGGTCTAAGGTCGAGAGTGGCATGCCCCCGGGTTCTCTGCTAGGCCCCATACTGTTTAATCTGTTTATTAATGATATCGGGGAAAGTATTAATAGCCATGTTTCTGTGTTTGCTGATGATACTAAAATTGGGAGGGTAATAGACACAGACTTAGACACTATAACATTGCAGGAGTACCTGGATAAAATAGGGGAGTGGGCAAATATATGGTAGATGAGGTTTAATGTTGAAAAATGTAAAGTAATGCATTTTGGGGTTAAAACAGGCAAAAAGAATACACATTAATGGGTACTCCACTAGGGAAGTCAGAAATGGAAAAAGATCTGGGCGCATAGTAGACCACAGATTGAATAATAGTTTGCAATGCCAGGCTGCGGCAAACAAAGCGAGCAGAGTACTGTCTTACTTCTACTTCTGTCTACTGTATTAAAAAGGGAATGTACGTAGAGACAAATAAATAATTTTGCCACTTTATAGATCGCTGGTTCGGCCTCATCTATAGTATGTGGTTCAGTTTTTGTCACCAGTCCACAGAAAAGATGTCCTGGAGCTGGAGAGAGTCCAGAGAAGGGCAACTAAACTAAATAAGGGGCTAGAGGACCTAAGCTATGAGACAAGGTTACTAAATTTAAACTTGTTCACGCTAGAAGTGAGGCGATTGAGAGGGGACATGATTACGATGTACAAAATGTTTAGTGGTGAAGGCAACATCAGCAATAAACTTTTTACAGTAAACTCCATAACAAAGACTAGAGGACACCACCTAAAACTGGTGGAGAAAAGATTTAACCACAAAGGGCGCAGGGGCTTTTTTTCAGTCAGAACGGTTAAAGTCTGGAACTCGCTGCCACAAGAAGTGGTATCAGCTGAGAGTATTGAATCATTAAAAAAGCATTTCGATACCTTCCTCAGAGACTGCAACATACAGGGGTACAGGTACACTTAAAAATAAGTTCACACAGGGACTCGTGTACACATATACACATGCACAATCACACACAGACACACAAAGGTTGGACTTGATGGACCTGTGTCTTTATTTAACCTCAAATACTATGTAACTATGTAACTATGTAAGAACATCATTGTAAATGCCATCAAACTTTCCCACAACTTGACCAAATATTTAATGCAAATGGGAATTAATGAATGCAGATGCCTTCCATTTAAATGAAAAATAAGCGGAATGCCCTAATTTGTCCCTGCCCATCTCCTGGGAACAAAAATGCCTCTGTTCAGCTTAAATATAATTCTTTATTGCCCATATACGTCACTGATCTGCTTGTGTATGTCACTCATCTGCACATTTATACCCTTGATCTGCCAGTATATACCAATAGGCTACTTGCATAGTGCCATAATACTGTCATTGTTAAACCATGACCAATATTTACTATAGACTTTGAAATCTATCCTTTAAACCCCTCCCACACTTAAACATATATTGGCCAAACCTACCATTCAGGGCTACACACTTAGGGGTCTTTTCACAAAGCTGCCGAGGGCAGCCGAGTGAATGACCGATCAGAAGTGAAGTGAGCCGAACACTGTTCGGCTATTCACTTCAGGCTTCTCCTTGGCGGCCGGGAGCAGGAGACTCCCGGGGCGCCAGGGAGAGTTAGATGTTTGGAGATCAGTGTCCCTGGTTAGCAACCAGGGACGCTGATCTCTCTGAAAGTGGCCAGAGCCAGCCGTAAGATCACGGCTGGCTCCGCCCAGCTGTCAGAAGCAGGCTGTTGGCAGGCCAATGGCCGGCCGCTCGGCCAGCTTCGGCTTTCAGCACGGCTCGCTGCTCGACTGAGCTGCTCGGCCGTGATCGGGAGCTGTACGGGCTATTGTGAATAGCCCGTACAGCACCTCCTCGGTTCTCCTGAACCGAAGGGGTCCTGGGGCCGAAGCCAGCCGAAGGATCGGCCGAAGCTACGGCCAGATCCTTCGGCAGCTTTGTGAATAGACCCCTTAGTCTCACCCAACACTCAATCCATTTAATCCACTCCCAAACTCAGGAATTACGATTTTCAGGTATAATGATCAATGACCATTAGCATATACACAGTAACTTTTATAGCGGTGGTCTGTCCATCGTGCTACACGTCTATTACTTTTTATTTAAAGATGAAGAATATGATTATAATATCTCTCTGATATCAAATATCCTGGAGCTATGCCAATAACCCAATGTAAAAGTAA